GCAAAGCCTTATACCCACTTTACAGATGAGAAAACTGAGGCTTTGGAGAGGTTGCGTAGCTTACCAAGGTCATAGGGCCTAGTTCTAGCCCTAACCATAGCTGATGTAAATGGCGGAGCAGGGATTTAAGCCCAGGCGGTCTGACTTCTCAGCCCATGTGATCTTGTGTCAAAACCATCAAAGGCCCCTTGAGTCAGGGGACAGGGCTGGGGTGACCGCTGGGAGGACTCAGGCTTTGCTGAGACTCTTTGGATGGACCCCGCAAGGACCGCATCCCTCTGTGATGTTCTTTTGAATCAGAGAGAAGCCCCCAGACCTGATTCTGTCCAGAGGGCCAATGGAAGCGAGAAGCCCTCCCTGCAGACATCATTTTACTCTTAAAATTCCTTTTACAGAAGTATCGCTTGCTCCACAAGTGCATTCATGCTATACATACAGACAAATGGGGTTTTACATATGAAGACAGCCACGGCGCTGGCCGTTGTGGCTCAGCTGGTTGAGCATCAGCCCGTACACCCAAAGGTCACAGGTTCAATCCCCAGTCCGGGCACATGCCTAGGTTATGGGTTTGATCCCAGTGGGGGCACATAAGAGAGGCAACCAATCGATGTTCCTCAGGGAAGAGCTTCTGTTTGCAAGTTGCTTTAGAGTCGAACACACTGGAGCCTGTCCCTTATCAGCCACATGATTGTTATTATTATACTACTATTAGTATCGTGTTGCTGTTGAAGCTTTGAGCACGAGGTAAGTGGTCCCACAGACCCCCCCCCCCGCTTCCTCCTCCCTTCACCAACGCTGCCCTGCGCCCCGGCCCGTTGACCGGGTCTCTAGGGCAGTAGCTGGCTGACATGCCCAGGGGCATCCCCATCTCCGGGGGGAGAGACTTCTGGAAGATCCCCAGGACAGAACTCAGGAACCTCCAAGGTGAAACCCCAAGTCCAAGGGCGTGGGGTCCCGTCTGTGTAAATCGCGCACAGCCGTCAGCCCCGACTGCCGCGTTCACACGCCCCGCTCCTCGTAGGTGAACACATGCATTATTTATCTGCTTTATTATGTGCTCCGAGGGCTCCCCTGAGACGTATAATTGTGCTTTGGGAGGTAAATTTGAATAATATTTACAATTAAGTTCTGTCCATAAAGCAACGCACGGAGGCCTCTGCAGAGCCGAAACGGCCCCTGGGTTGGTTTCCCACTAACCGCTCCCCTGAGGAAGCCTGGGGAGCTTTTACATCCCCTTGCAGCCGCCCACCTCTCCCGTGGTCTACCTCGGCTCCCAGGGTCCCGGCATCATCGCGCCCGTTGGGAGGCTGCAGCAGCCCCCAAGCACCCAACCTTCTCCCACCTGCCCTCCCCAGAATGGCCCGGGCAGGGAGCAGCGTTTCCATATGTAGCCCTGACCCCATGACGGCCACATGGGGCTCCCCCTTCTTCTCAGGGTCCCCCGTTCCTGCCTGGCCTCCTCCCCATCCCCTACGGTGCATGCTCAGTCCGCACGCTCTGCTCCCGGCCCCTCCCCTTTTGGGCCCCCAAATTCACCCTGCTCCCTCCCACCCCAACACTGCTCCCATGCTCCCCCCACGCCACCCCCGGCTGGGCCACCCTCTCCTGCACCGCCCACCAAATCAGTGCCTGCCTCTCCTTCACGTCTCGTGTCTCTTCTCCCGAGAAAGTGTCCTTGGCCTTCGGACAGGGTCAGGTCCCTCTGCAACATGTGTGTCGCGCTTACTGAGGCCGCTTTCCATTCAGAGGGTGTTTTCTCAAATTGCTGGCCTTCTCTCCCACTAGCCAATGAATGAGCTGATAAGGACAGAGGTTGCATATGTACTGATCATCCCCGTACTCCCAGTGCCTTCCACAAGGACTGGCATGAAGTAGGTATTCGACAGATTTTTATGGAATGGACGAATGAGTGGAGATATATATATAGGTGGTTACGTAAATGGATGGGTGTGTGGGTGGATGGATGTGCGACTAGATGAGTGGATGGAGGAGTGGACGGGGGGTAGGTGGGCAGGAGAAAGGACGGCTGGATGAAGGGGTAGACAGGGGCATCTGTCCTTGGGTGGCCTGCTGTGGTGCCGAAGAGCGGAGGTAGGAGCAAGGCGTCCCAGATCTCGGCCTCCCATCTGCCGTGGCTTGCTCTGTTGTCTTGGGTAAGTCACTACCTGTCTCCGAGCCTCGATTGCTAGGGATATTAAACGAGTGGAGGGAAATTTTTTTAGGATGCATATGTATCCGGGGGATGGTGAGCTGGGAATTTCAGGTTTCACCTGCTGGCTCACAACAGAGCTGTGTGGCGTTGGGATAGGCCGTTGGCCTCTCTGAGCCTCAGCGGCTGTTCTGTGGTGGCCAGGGAAGGCAAGGGGGAGTTTGTGGCAGGAACCTCTGGCACTAGCCCTGCTTTAGCTTCAGTCTCTTTCTTCAAGAGAAAACGTGTCTCCAAAGGGAGGAAGCGAGTCCCCGACTGAATTATTTCACAGCAGGACAAGTGGCTTCCTGGTTCCTCCTGGTCTTGGATACCAGTCCCAGCCACAAATTTCCAAATCTGGGGTTTGGCGACCATAGGCCCCGCACCCCAGCTCCCACCAGAGCATCGCGTGCCAGGGAGGTGCAGGCGAGGAGCTGGAGAATGACCGGCCACTTCCGTGCAAGCCAAGTACCGCGTCCTTCTGCAGGCTTCTCAGAGGGAAGCTCTCCAAGCCTCGCTGGTCTGTGAAATGGGAAAGACTGAGCGAGATGAGTTGGAGGGGCCCTCGTGGCTCTCACTATCGGATTCTATCCTCTCCCACCCGTCCAGGCCCCCAAGCTCCCCCCGCATCTCCCCCAGAGCTGACTCTGGGCTCTGGTTTAAGCCAAACTTCTCCCTTGGCCAAGCACCCGGTCCACGTCCCCTTCCAAGCCCCTCCCCACTGTTCCCCCCACCCTCCAGCTCCTTCCTCTCAAGGGCTGAAGAAGCTGGGAGCTCAGGCAGCCGACCTGGTTCAAAGCCCAGCTCTGTCATTTATTAGCTGCGTGACCCGGAACAAATGAGGTCCGCAATCTGAACTCCCTCTCTGCACCCCCGCGTGAGTCTGAAGGTCCTCTTCTCTCGGGACCCTTTGGAGGGTGTGACGAGATGTGACGCCTGCACATGGTGGATGCTCCGTGATGCGATTCCTTTCCTTCATCGTTGTTCTCCCTTTCCATTGTGCTGCCCCCTCCCCGCCCTGGCCCTCCGCCTGCTTCCCAGCACCCCCTTGGCCCTCCCGCCCCACCCAGGAGGCAGCACTGAGGCCCCATGGGCCGGGTTCTGGCCCCCAAGCGAGGGCTCAGGGCCACAAGGTGACATTGCTGCCTGTGGGTAACGCAGGTGAACGCCTGCGAACAGCAGGGACTTTGTATGTGCGATCGGTGGCGAGCCTCAGAAGCTGCAGGGACGAGATCGCAGAGGCTGTCATGGGGACATTTAAGCATTTGATGGGGTGCTACAGTCAGAACAGGAAGACTGGCAGGGCGGCCAGAGAAAGGCGGCCTGACCCGAAGGAGGAAAACAGCTGGTTTGGATTTTGCTCCTGTTCATCAGCTTTTCCAACGACACAATGACTTCCTGGCTCCCCCCCCCAGCCGGGCCTGGCGAGGAGCCAAGCTGAGGAAGCGGCCCTGTCCTGGGGGTCAGAGGCCCACCTGGCTGCCGACTGTCTCCGGGACCCGGGACCCGTCCCACACCATCTTGTGCCTTGGTTGCTTCACCCCCGGGAAGGTGGAGCAGAAGCACGGAGTGATGGGGGCCCCGGGCAACACTGAAAGCCCCTGTTTGCTCTCCAACTGTCCAAGCGCATGTTGCTTAAAGCAATCAGAGGCTGCAGCCTGGGATCAGTTCTGAGCTGGCTCGTCATAAGCACAACGACCCGAGAAGTGAAGGAACAGTTTGTCTCTTAACGAGGTGTGAGTCCAAACAGCCCGTGGCCTTGGGAGCCTGCCCACGCTGCGTAGACATTGCATCTGTTCGCAGCCTCTTGGTGGAGGCTGGCTTCAGGATGGAGGGCCTTGGAAGGGAGCGGAACGCAGCCCCTGAGGCGCCGCAGGGCCTCCAGCCAGCCTCTGTCCCTACCGCCCTCCCCGAGGCCTCAGGGCTGCAGGGCGGGGAGCCATGGCGGCATGGGGGGCGGCCGTCCAGGAAGCTGGGGGCAACGGCATTTTCTTTGCCACGCTGGGTCATTTTTGAAAGCGATTCACAAAGCTGACTTATAGACCATTAAGTTGTTTATATTAATCTGCTGAGGAACATATATTTATGATCAAACCTTGTAGCCCCTCTCAAAACCTTAAGACTCTGCAGCCTTATTCGAGCCAGACAGAGATTTAGGTTCAAATCCAGACTCTGGCCGAGACCAGCTGGGCTCCCTCAGTCAAGTGACTTAACCTCCTCCTGAACCTCAGATATTTTACATATAAAAGGGAAGTAATATGTAACTGTCCCTAACTCAGGGCAGCAGTGAGAAGTAAGATAACACATGTAAAGTGCTTATCGCAAGAAGTGCTGAATAAATGTAGGCTATCGTTACAGTCGAGGGTACCCTCAATAGATACATCCTCTACAGGGCCAGGCAGAGCCTCTGGCGGGCTGTACGCTGCTGGGCGAGTTCCCTGCTTCCCCAGAGCCTCAGCTTTGTCGTCTGTAAAATGGAGAATGACTCTGTGGCCCAGAAGGTCTTGTACTGTGTGAGAAGAGGCAGCGGGGCCGCACACTGGAGCCCCGAGCCCCTGACACCCGAGGACCTGCACCCCAGAAGCGCAGCCCAAGGAGGCAGCCCCCAGGCTCTGCTCCGCGACAGAGCCCTCGGGCACACCCACTGGCCCGCAAGGCCCTCCCTGGTCGCTCCCTGACGTTGATTTGGGTCTAGTCTCTAGCAGGGCTATGAGGAAGTGGAGGACGAAGAGGAGAAGCCCTCTGTACTCACCTCCCGCCCTGGAGCTTCACTCTGAGCAGCTCCAGACAGAGCCAATTGGTCAGGGAAAGAGAGAGGCATCTCTGGGAGGGGGTGGGGGCCGCTGGGGAAGCTGCCCCAGGGCCCAGTCTCCTGCTGCCAGGAGCAAATGTAAAGTGAGGACAGGGGTTGGGGGAAGAGCTAGCACCACCTGGACCCCGAGAATAACTACAGCACAAAGCACCTTCCCTCTGGGAGGGTCTAGGTGAGCTGCTTCATGCTGCACCCATTGAGAGGCCTTTCCTCTTCTTTCTCCATTCCTTCCCCGACTCCTCATGGCACCCTGCTTGTCTTGCCTTCACAAAGTGCCCACGTGGCCCCTCAGGACCTGTTCTTTGTCTTCCCAGGGGATCTGAAAGCCCCATGCATGGTCGTGGGAGTTCATGGGCTCATGTCCCCCTCCTCTCGCAGGTACCCTGTGCATTTCCACACGCCCTAACCCAGAGGAATGGCCGGAGCGGTGGGTTTCCGGCTGGCTAGCACACAGGTGTGCAGGGAGAGGCGTGGACTGCATCACACCGGTTTCCTCTGCTCAGCCCAGGAACGGCCCCATCGAGTGTGTGTGTCATTACTGGGGAACGCACCGCAGGTAGCACAATCCCCTTCTTATGCTTATCACAGTTCAGGGTAGCGCTTTTGAGAATTCTCCCGTTTTTGCTTTGTGCCAGTCAAGGCTGGCCTCCTAAGAAAGATGGGATGCCGGTCCAAGGCTGTGAGCCACGTGGCATGCCATGTCCACCATGCCACTGGAAGAAAGGGGCTCCTAGCCCTGGACTCCAAACACTGTTCAGCCCGGTGTAAAATACAGCTGGCATTGGTGGGTGCTGAAGAGGTTACCGCGTGGTCTTGAGAAGGCATAGAGCTGGACGCCAAGGTTGGGAGTGTCTCCTGGGCCCTCCAGGCTAGGCTCAGATCATGTTGGTCTCCTTCTCATTCATCGAGGTCCTCTCGTTTAGCGATGACATCCTGGTAAAGCTCCTGTGGCTGGGGAAGGAAGAGTGGCCTGTGTCTTCACTCAGAGCGTTGACCAGGCGGGAGAAGAGGGCTACCTTGAACTTTTTGAAGTCCTGACCCATGAAGACATAAAGAATGGGGTTCATGCAGCTGTTAGCGATGGCAATGGCAGTGGCCAGGGGCAAGCCCAAGCTGAAGACGGGGCCAGGCACGGTGGTGTGGTAGAGCTCCAGGATGTAGAGGGTGTGGTAGGGGCACCAGCAAAGGAAGAAGGTGATGATGATGGTCACGATGATTTTGAAGGGCTTCTTGGTCTTGGCCAGGCGGTTGCGCCGTAGCTTGCAGACGATGGTGAAGTAGCAAGCTGTGATGATGAGAACAGGTATCAGAAAGCCACAGAGGAAGCGTGTGATGGTCACCATCATGTACCGGCTAAACCCCATAGAGTCCAGGCGGGGGTAAGCAGCCCACAGGGAAGAGTTGGCTGCAGACAGGCTGAAGTTGTTGAAGCAGGATATCTTCCCATGCACATTGGCCGTGTCCCGGAACACGAGGGATGGGGAACTCAAGAAGAAAGCCAGGACCCAGATAACCACGCAGGTCACGTAGGCCAGCCTGAGGTTGCGGTGGTTCTGGGACCAGACCGGAAGGAGCACAGAGATGCAGCGGTCAAAGCTGATGACAGTCAACAGGAAGACGCTGGCATACATGTTGTGGATGAGCAGGAAGTTGCTGACCTTGCACATGGCCGTCCCGAAAATCCAGTGGTAGTCCATGGCAGCATAGGCGATGTGGATTGGGAGGAAGACATTGAACAGGAAATCTGCGATGGCCAGGTTAAGGAACCAGACCGTGTTCACTGTCTTCTTCATCTTGAAGGTGGCAATGAAGATCACCAGGCCATTGCCCAGGATCCCAAGGAAACAGACGATGCTGTAGACCACCACCAGGAAGATCCTGATCACCCCACTTTCCTGCGGGTGAATGTCCTCCACAACCATGATGTCAGAACCTTCAGGGTAGTCTTCATAGTATGAGTTGTTATAATCCATGTCCCCCATTCTCTGCAAGGGGAGACAGGGGTCATTAGAGGAACCTTAATTGGAACTGGCTTTGAGAGGTTAACCAACACCAGTAAGGCCGATATGGTTCTCCCTGGCAGTGAGCTAGGCCAGTTCTGTAGTTTAACTATTTCTTGCCTTGCTCTTTTATTTATTTAACAAACAGCTCTCTAGCACCTCTTATATACCAGAAAATATGCTGAAGCCTTGATATATATATAAACTCTCCTTATCCTCACAAAAGCTCAGTGAGGTAGGTAGGTTAAGAAACCCATTTCACAGATGAGGAAACCAAGGCACAGAACATTGAAGTCACTCAACTAAGGTCATACAGCTGAAAGTTAACTCAATTTCAGAACCTGTCCTCTGGACAACCATGTTTTGCTGCTTCTCTGGGACCCTCTTTCCCCTTACAGTCTAGTGGTGGAGATAAATATTCATCAGAAAGTTCCTTTATCATGGAAAAATCTCAATGATGCTAAGTGCAATGAAGGAGAGGTGCACAGTGCTGTGAACTTGGTCCCAACCATGTTTCCATGACCCAGGGGACAGCTTTGCATGGCTCCCACATTGTCAATGGACCCCACTGGTGCCCTGTGGAGACAGGAGTTCAGGCCACAGGAGTCCCTCACCGTTCACTGTTCCGGTGTCCAAAGCTCTGCTGGGTGGGTCCCTGGCCAGTCAGTCTCCGTGCCCAGCTGGAAATGCCTGCAGGGAAGAATGAGGAGGCAGCAGTTGGCTCTCGGTCTAAGAGCGCTGCATGGACTCAGAGCCAGAGACAGGATCTATTGTTGCTACTCCAAATTCATGGAAAAGGAAGCAGCGGCTTGCAGAGGCAACGAAGTGACGAGCCCAAGGTTCCTCAGCTGATGAGCAGCTGAGCTGGAATTGAACCCAGGGCTCCGACACCCAGGAACCCCTGCACTGTCCGCCACCAAAGCTCTCCTCATCTTGACAAATGGGCCCCAAGCAGATTCTTAGCCAGGCTACACTGCCGACCGGTGCCTCATGACCAATAGCTGCAGCTTTTCTCCATCTAAATTCATTGCTGGTCCTTAATGGATGGGAGGTTATATTTTATTGCATACAAATCAACCTTTGCTTTTATTAAGCAAGACCTACTTGTAAAATCCCATTGAGGACTCTGGGCTCCAGGGACTCAGAATTTAAGCTTGGGTGTCATCTGACTCTGCAGGCTGGGCGCGAGTTCCAGAGGCGCCCAACAGAGGGTCCCCAGGGCTTCCTGGAGCCCCGGAAAGAGGAGAAAAGACGGTGACATTGCAGCTGCCCTCCCTTACCTGGAGGAACTGTGACAAGTGTTCATGATAACGGGGACTGTGCTGAGCATGTGGACAAATGGTCTCACTTTAGCACATGAGGAGCACCAATGAGGCTGGGGGCGATCCAGGCATCCAAGCAGGAGCTGGCAGAGCCGGGATTTGAACCAGGTCTGCAGAACCTGGGCTCTTACCATCCCTCCATGCTGCCCCCAAATCATGATCTGATGACAGCCACTGAGCGTGCGCTTGAGGAAGAAATGACCGTGTCCACATTCCCCGTGCCAGGCTGTACAGGCCTCAGGGACAAGGAAAGCTGCCTGAGCTCCGACTATCACACTCACGTTCCAGGCCGGGAGAAGGGAAACAATGAAGGAAAGGTGCCCCACTGGAGCTCCAAGTCAGTTTCAAGGCACGAGGCAGAGGGTGTGCCCCTAGAAGCTGCAGGGAGGGGTATTTGAGCCTGAGGGCCTAAGGCTTCCTGGGGCAAGCTCCCCAAGAGCCCCACGAGGCGAAAGTTTTCACCCGCTGGCTGGGTTTTAAAGGACAACTATATCACTAAGATGATGGAAGGAGGGAGGGAGGAGCGCCCCACCCCCCAGCTGCCCCCCTTCCCAGCAGTGGTGGTGGGGAGCGTCTAAGCCCCTGGAGGAGGGCGAAAAGGAAGGCGACTTAGGACCAAGCACTGGGCACTGCAGTGTCTGCCTGCAGAGGTGCTCTGGGGACACAGATCACGTCATGTCTGGCTCTCCAGCTGGGCTGGGAGCTGCTCGGGGTCAGAGGCCACCATCTTTCCGTCTTTGACTGGGAGCCAGGCAGGGCCAGCCCAGGGTGGCGCTGACATCTTCTGGACATGTCTACCTGCTCCCTCGTTGCCCCTCATCCTGAGGACTGAGTGGGTCAGTGTCCTTGGTCGGTACGTGTCCTCCCCCGACCCCAGTCCCTCGGTCCTCCCTGGAAGGGGCCCCAGTCACAGGTTTGCATCTGGCCTCCGTTCTGTGCCCACGTACATCCCTCATGTCCTGAGCTCGTGTCTGCCCCAGACCAGGAAACATGGTCAAGGACACAGGTGCCGCAGCCTGGCCAGGCTGCTGGCATCCAAATTCTCAGTCTGTATGAACTTCCTCTGACCCTGAGCAAGTCAGTTACCTTCTCTGTGCCTCAGTTGTCTTATCTGTAAAATGGGCATGATCAGAATAGTTCAGACTGGTTGGGAAGTTTAAATGTCACATGAAAAGTACTTAGAATAGTACTGTTACTGGGCAAACACTAGGTTGTTGTTTTTATTACTACTATTCTTATTATCATTATTATTATTATTTCTCAGGCTTCTACTCTTAATTCCCTCCTAAAATGCCCTTTGCCTGGGAAGGTGGGAGGGGCCAAGAAGGCCAGAGGAGCAGTGCATTCTGCCCACTTGTCTCCCAGCTCTGGGTTCAAGGGCAGGTCAAAGGCAACACAAGCAAGGATTTTGCTTCTCTAAGCTCTGGTCTCCTCATCAGTCCAGTGGGGGTAAGAACCCCTCCCTCATGTTGTCGGGAGGGTTGTGGGAAATGAGAATGCATCCTTGGCCAATTTTAAGTTGTCAAGGACTCCAAAATTCTTGTTATTCGTATTTCTTAAACCCTCCACAACCAGAAGCTTATGAAAAGAGTATCTATAATTATATATATACTCATATGTATGTATACACATAGGTGACTTTTATTTGAGTACTTATTACATGCCAAACACTGCTATGCAAGACTCCATGCAATGCTCCCAACAGCCCTGCAAGGATTGTAGTTTGCAGGTAAGAAAACTGAGGTTCAGAGAGGTAAAGCAACTTGCCTAAGGCCACACAGCCAGGGGGTCTGACTCCAGAGTCTGACTTCCAAGGACGCCAAGTAAAGAGGCTCGCACCCCCTGTGCTTCCCTGATGGATCAATAGCCCCCGATCTCACCTCTCTGAGTCCCCTAAGCCTCAGCCTTGAACCCCGGCCGCCCAGACCTCCCTCACACCCTGACCATCCGCAGAGCTGCCTCCCCGGGCCACCTTCCTTGTTTCCCTTCACCTTTCCTCAAAGGCTGCATGCAAACCACACCTGCTGTGCCGTGTGAGTCCTGGTCCGTGGCTCTGCGCCCGCCTCTGCCAGGCGCCCTGATGAAGCCCCTGCCCAGGAGCGCCCTGCAGAATTCAGGGTGAGAAACAACGTTGCCTTCCCTGAGGAACTGGGCTGCCTCCTCATTCTTAATGATTCCAGTTCTGCAACTGGTCCCATTGTCCTTTTGGATATGGCCACAAGGAAGCCCTGAATCCCATTTGCAGGCCAAAAGCAGCAACTCCATGAACCCTGCTGGTCGTCAGGTTTCTGAATTGGTTTTGGTTGGTCCTTATGTCGACATTTAATTATACTGGATATTGGTTTTAGTTCCTTATGATAAATAATAATTGACTGGTGCACTCAATAGCCCAAACCTCACACTAAATGCTTTAATTGCATTAGCTCACGCATCACCCGCGACGCCCAGCACTGGTACTGTTATGATCCCCAATGTACAGGTGAGGCAATGCGGCCGACGTCACAGTCAGCTGGCCGCCAACGCACGCCCAGGTCGCTCTGCCTCTGAGCTCTGCTCTTAACTACCTTGCTTTCATGTCTGTTCACACCCTTCCTGACGCCCCAGAGTCCCCAGCTCCACCTGCCAGGGACACCTCCTTGTTCAATCTTTTTCTAGTCCCTCAAGGAATCCACCGTCTCCAGTTTTCAGGACGACTTGGCTGCGGTCTGGGGCACACAGGAGAATCACTTGCCAAAGGCAACATCGCGCATCACAGCCCAAGCAGGCAGGTGAGCCTGGCCCGTGCGGGACCTACGCCCTGTCCTTACAGTGGGACACACACACACACACACACACACACACACACACGTAACAAACTCTAAACCCAACAAGGAATTGCCATCTAGAAAGTATAAGGAACTCTCCTGCCAATCCAAACAGAAAATAAAGGGCAAATGATATAAACAGTTAATTTGTAGAAGGGAAACTCCCAAACCCAGGCATATGACACATCGACAATTGGCTCTCAAAGACATGCAAATGAGAATCACAACCAGATGATACCTTTTTACCTACCAGGCTGCGGCAAGCACTAGAACTCTGGCGTAGATACCCCTCAGCTTGGCGGGCTGTGGCACAGGCTCCCATGCCACACAGTGGGGACCCGAGAGCCCCGTGCACCCCACAGCACCGCCCCCAGGAACCACACGCTAGAACGCCGCAGGGCAGTGTTTACGGGGCCCCCCTTGGCTCCAGCGCTCTGGAGGCCAGCCTCGCACCCGGGCCCCTGCAGAAGTGGTCTAGCAGAGAAACATTCCCGGGAGAATCAGGAAGGGAGCAGAGAAGCAGGATAGGGAAGGGGACAGGCTGGTCAAGGGCACAGAACATGGCCTTGGCGTAGGCTGGGGGCTCGGGAACAATGGAGGTCACATGCCAGGAGCTGAGTATTTACATCCCTCCCCCACCCTGTCCGGGGGTGTGCGTTCCTCCCACAAAGAGCCGCAGGTTCAGGCTATCAGGGGGGCTGTACACGCAAAACGGTCAAGGAGCCAGGAAACTCAGGCAGCGGCTGCCAATGGCTAGGAGAGAGGGCACGGGTGAATGCTACGCAGCTGTTAGAAACAGCAGATTATCTGGGGCACAGGCAGCCACGGAACACAAAGCATCTTGAAGCCACCTACCCTA